AAAAAAAAAAAAAAAAAAAAAAAAAAAAAGTCAGCGAGAAAGCTTGTTACTGACAGCAAATATTGAGGACAATAAACATGGTGGATCCTACCCAATTGGCCACCGGACACAGTGACGTCACGCTCTAAAGCTTTATAAGCATACTTGAACTTTTATTTACATCTTTGCACCTAGAAAGTTTGACCCATTTAGTAAATAGATGAAGAGTCTGAATCCAGCAAAGTCCATGCTCAATAATCCAGGTATACAATCCAACATTTTTCAGTCAGGTCATCTGGACAGTTTTTTTTTTTTTTGTGCTGAAACGTTTTGCCTTCAATCCAGATGGCTTCATCAGTCAAGGAAACACACAACACAAAACTGATTCTTCCCCCAACAGCTTACTCCAAAGTGGAACAAACCAGTTCTGCTTGTGACAAGATGGTCTGTTTGGTACGCCCCCTCCTCCATTGCCGGCCCTCTTCCTTGTTGACAGTCTTGTTAAACTGGTTGTCAAACTCGTTTCAACTCGATGGTTTGAAGAAGGGAAATTTAATACATTGATGTCGCATACAAAACAGTCTGTCGCCGGGCAGTTTATTGTGCGACACCGAGTACACGTACACTATCGTAAAAATTGGTCTTCCCACGGACATGCCTTGAGGGCGTCCGCGTTGAGTCTCATCTGGTACGCGCGAACCTCCACTGATTGAGCTGGAGCCTTAACGATCAATTGTTGGGCTGATGATCCTCCCTTTGCATGTGAACAACTAGTTTTGGCTGTCACCAGCAAACTGATTGATCCACTATGATTAGATGCCATTTAGAAGACTATTTTGCAGCTCCTCAGACTAAAGAAGTCTTTTGGATAAAAGACAAAAAAAATTTTCAACAAACAATATTATGGGGCCAGAGGACCTGAGTCAACCTTGTTAGATTCATCTACCTGGATTATTGAGCATGCATCAGGATATACAGAAGTTAATATTTTTGTATAGCTGTTTTTTAAAAATAATAATTTTTTAACCAGTTTCTGTTTCTGTTTTTCCAACAGTTTTACGGCTACCTCTCCCAGCAACAAAACATGATGCAGGACTATGTTCGAACAGGGACTTATCAACGGGCTATTCTTCAGAACCATACTGACTTCAAGGACAAGGTAACCTCCTACAACTCAACAGATGAATGGTTGATGTGATTAAGTCCATTTATTAGGTCTAGTTTATTCAAGATATCCATGATGGATATCTTGATGGAACATGTTCCCTGTCTATCTTTTTTAATTTAGTGCTACTGGATAAGGATGTGTATTTTAAGCAAAAGCTGTCTCTGAAATTGTCTGTGTCTTCAGTTTTTCTTTGAATATTGAACAGTGCATTCTTTTGTCGGCCGTCCGACCATAGCACCCTTCCGGTTCTTTTCGTTCCCAGGTGGAGAGGAAACGCACACAAACTCAGTAAAATGAATAGAGGTAAATTCTTTTTACCGTTTTATGTCGTTAAGGCAGAAAAAAATTACAGGCTCAGCACTGAGGTGTCCGTCCGACCCTTTGTAACCCGGAACCGGAAGCCCCATGTACAGAACACCCCAGAATGCCCCAGCTTATGTTGGCCCTTGGCTTCGCCTTCACATCCGGGCGAGTACAGCCTATCAGAGTGTATCAGTGGGGTGACTGTGTGTAACCTCACCCGTCTTATCTGTTTCTGGTGGTGGATAACTAGGGTGATATACAGATCTAAGTGTTGGAAGCAAGCAAAAACAAAAAATGACTCCTTATCGGGTATTGACCCTGGGATCGCTCGTTGTGTGCAGCTGAGACTGGTCTGATCTGCTCCGAACCAGGTTATAATTGAGTAGACCAGATCGGGCGTCCAGCAAGATTAAACTTCTAACACTTTAGCACAGCATACAGGTCACTTTTTGACGCTTTCTGTCCGCCTCTGTGGAATTTCTGAATGGACCAAGGCAGCTGGAAGGATGAAGCCATCCCACCCCTGATGGTCCTGTAGCACAGCTCTGTTATAAGTGGTGATATGCTGATATGTGATGTAGGGGTCGACATAAGCAATTTCCGTTTGTCCGAGACAAACTATTTTCGTCTCGGACTCCAGATCCAGATCGTCTCCAGATCTCGCCTCGAGGTTCTCCATTGGACAATAAAGTGAAATAGACATGAATTAAGGTTCTCCATCCTTTCAACATATTTCCGTCATTTGTTTAAATGAAAGGGTGGGGGTGGGAGGGGGATCATGTTTTCAACCATCCCCATTTGGGTTAAACAGTCCTGGATTTTGACCCCCTGTCCTGTCCCGCATGAAGAGGGGCGGGACACCCAAATGTCCCACATTTGACAAAAGCTACCTGGGCTCCCATGTGCCTGTTTGGGAGGAGGGATACAGAGAGGATGTTTCACGGGTTTCTTGCCCAAGCGGGAGTCATGTTACTGTAGTAAGTCTGTAGGCTGTAAAGTGCAAGTGCTCAGTTTTCAGAAACTGTTTGTTTTTCTGATGGCTCAAACTCAACAAAATACAGTAATGCGAAACGAGCTTTAAAAAAACCATGTCATCGGTAAGACACTCGGAATAAAAAAATAAACATGCTGTTGTTAAAGTTCAGATATGTTTTGAAAGTGAAAGACTATATATTGTCATCATTGCATTGTTTCTTCTACCATTATACAAGTGGGGTGCCCCACCCCGTCAACAGAACTGAGCACCCCGCCTACCAAACCGACTCACCCCCCCACCCCCTGGCAATGACATAGCGCTAAGCTAGCAGCGTGCAATACAGGCGCTCTAGCTAAAAAGCTAAAGGCAGCGCTCACGTTGCCTCTTCTCTCATGGACACCCCCCCACCACCACCACCACTCAAAAAGTTTCTGTACAAACAGCTCACAGCTCAAACGTGTTGCGCTAAGCTAGTGGTGTGCAATTCAGGCGCTCTAGCTAAAAAGCTAAAGGTGCCCCTTCTCTCATGCTGAATGCCTCCCACACCCGCCCTCGCTCAAAAACTGTTGGTACAAGCTGCGCTCAGACATGTCTCCGTCACCCCCCTCAACAAAAATCATGGATGAGATGAGCACCCCACCATGGCAAGTTAACTAGGGGAAACACTGCATTGTATGTTTTTTTTTTTTTATTTAAACTTTTATTTTACCAGGAAGAAATCCATTGAGATTATTAATCTGTTTTACAAGGATGTCCTGAGATGTTGTTTTGGTACAAAACAGGAGATTATATGTTTCTATACAATGATGAAATGTGTGCTCTGTATTTAACCCACCACATGCGAGATACACCTAGGTGGAGCAGTGTGCAGCTATATAAAGCCCCTTTTCCACCGCTCCTACTCAGCTCTGCTCTGCTCAGATAAGCTTGTTACACGTTGCGTTTCCACCACACTTTCACGACCGATTCTGGAGGCGTGTCCAGAATTCAATTAGCCTTACTACTAGAGCTGGGTGATATCTTGATATTTTAAAAATGTCGATATAATTCTTTTGCAATGTAAGTTGAGACTATCTCGATATAAAACAATATAATTTTATACTTGAAAATCCTCCTGATGTCTTATTCTTCCACTCGGCCCCCCTCCTTCTCCCTCATTGAACACAAACCCAGCCCCTCAGCCGTCCCCTCCTTCCTGATTCTGCAGAAGGTGGGCAGATACGTTTAGCACAACAAGTAAACACAGCAGATACAAAGCACAGCTGCTGCTGAGGAAAAACAAAACAATGACTATTCGTTTAGAGCTAGTTTAGATTTAGATTGTCAGATGAGGGGCAGAAAAATTATTTCTGTAGACAATGCTGAAAATAGTCCCGACGAAAGGTTGGAACTACAAATCTTTTTCACTATTTAAACAGCGGAGTGGAGTATGAACCGTGAAGCTGCAGCTCGAAGAGTTTTTTCAGCTTCTTTCCTTGAAACAAACCGCGGGTCAGAGCTCATTTAGCCATGCTGAGCCTTATGAGAGGAGCAGAGAGAGGTGGCGACATTAATAAGTCGACAGTTTATCATATTGCTAAGACACTGTCCTTAGCGGCTAACAAGATGGCTAACGTTTTAGTCATCTTGTTCCACAGCTGAGGCTGGGACTGTGTCTTTGGTGATATGATAAACTGCTGATTTATTAATGTCGCCACCTCTCTCTGCTCCTCTCATAAGGCTCAGCATGGCTAAATGAGCTCTGACCCGTGGTTTGTTTCAAGGAAGCAGGCTGTAAAAACTCGTGGAGCTGCAGCTTGGCGGTTCTGAGTGGAGGCTCACTTTACTGCAGTTCACACAGGCTTACTAACTTGAAGGCGGCGCAGCTGAATGGACTGTACTTATACAGCTCCTTTCTATCTTATCAAGACACTCAAAGCTCTTTACAACACAGTCTGTGCCTTCATTTACCCATTCATGCACTCTACTAGATCTCTACAAAGAATAATCAGAGCTTTATCACATTCATACACCGATGGGACATGCATCTGAGGCAATGAGGGTTCAGTGTCTCACCCATGGACACTTCGGCATATGACTGCTGGTGGAATCGAACCCCCAACTCTCCCATTGGAGGACGACTGCTCTAGCTTCTCAGCCACAGCTGCCCTCAGCTGAAGAGGATTATTATTTAATATATGTAAATAAATGTATGAAAAATAAACTAATATATGTAAATAGATTATTTTTAGACATTTATTTTGTAGAGTTATAGCTGTTTGGTAATAAATGTACCTGTGTGACAACTACAAAGCTTTGACTCAGAAATATATTTTTATTACTTTCTGTAAAGAAAAAATATCGATATAAATATTGTATATCGCGATTTATCATAAAAATATTGAGATATTAATTTTGGTCCATATTGCCCAGCTCTACCATAACTCCATAACCTTTGACCAAATTTCTCTAACAGTCCCCTCCACATTTCATTGGTTCAACTGTGAGGGGAGAGGAGGAGAGAACAGGAGTGGGGATTCCCCTGCATGTGAAGAAAATATGAGTGTCATATGTTCACAGAGCAACGCTCTGCAATATGCGGACAGCTTCCAAGAGAGGTCTGTATTGGGCATCTATGTGAGTGTCTGGGACAAAGCTAAATGTTTTTGGCAGCAGGAAACTTGTTAGCCAGTCAAAAAATAATAATTGCTGCGGCACTGTATAAGTTGCAGGGTTTGGGGCGGCTGTGGCTGAGTGGTTAGAGCAGTCGTCCTTCAATGCAAGAGTTGGGGGTTCGAATCCACCAGCAGTCACATGCCGAAGTGTCCCTGGGCAAGACACTGAACCCCTCACTGCCTCCGATGTGTGTCCCATTGGTGTATGAATGTGATAAAGCTCTGATTAGTCTCTTTAGAATGCTTTGTTCAATTAGTGTTGTAGAGATATAATAGAGTGCTGTATGAATGGGTAAATGAGGACACAGATTGTGGTGTAAAGTGCTTTGAGTATATCCGTAAGATAGAAAGGCGCTATATAAGTACAGTCCATTTACAAAGTCTGAGAAAATCTAGTGGTTTATATCAGTCAATCAACTTTATTTCTATAGCACATTTTAAAAACCGCAGTGGTGACCAAAGTGTTGTACAATAAGACAAAAAGATAAATTAAGACAATAAAAACATACAAAGCATACACAAACATAAAAACATACCAGTTTCATGACAGGTGTGTTTTAAGATGCCATAAAAGATAGGATCACATGTTAAAAGCCAAATAATAAAAGTGTGTTTTTAAAAGAGATGTCTGACACTCAAGGGTAAGTTGTTCCATAACCTGGGATCAAGAACAACAAAAGCTCTGTCACCTCTGAGCTTAGACTGGAAAATACAGTAGTATTGACTGCAGCAACAAGTTTTTAGTTTTTTTCTCCCAGATTTGCAGATTTCAGACAAACAACACATTTCAGTGAGGATGCCAAAGATAACGTTACTAAGACTATATTTTACCTCTGCGTTAGCTTTATTGTTCTGGATAAAGTTTTACAAGGCGATAACCTATGCTAGGTTTTCTCAACATTAGCTTGCTAACTTGAGAGGCATGTAGCTAATTACAAGCGGGTTGGAGGATTGAAGAGAATTTACTGTTGTTTTATTTTTATTTTACAGATCAGTTAAAATAAACTTGCCATGCTCTGTTCAGCAAAATACGCTACATAGTATTGCTAACTGCTTCCTCTGTGCTGAATGTGAAGTTTCAAGTGAACGGCCATGACTTGAAAGTAGTCCGTATGCGCCCTCTGCTGGATACATTGTACAATTGCGCCTTTTGCAAGGAAGGACACAGCTTGTTCACAGTGTTTATACTGCGCATAATGCGACAATTATCACCGATACCAATATGCCCCCAATCCCTTATATCTGCCTAAAGTATCGGTCCTACCGATATATCGGTTGGGCTAGAGTATTATCTTTAGCTGTTGTTGTTCTCTTTGAACCAGGTGGTGCTGGATGTGGGCTGTGGCTCGGGGATCCTGTCATTCTTTGCTGCCCAAGCTGGAGCCAGGAAGGTCTATGCTGTGGAGGCCAGCACCATGGCGCAGCATGCTGAGGTTTAAGAGTTTTTGTTTGTTTGTTTGTCGTTTTTATTCATTTCATATTTAAAACACAAAAACAATTTAGAAACCAAATAAAAAAAAAAACATGTCATAAAATGAAAGGTAGCAGAAGAAGAAAAAAATCTTATCATATCTGCCCCTTGTTTAAAACAAAAACAATTCAAACAATCAATTCAAACAATAATCATCTATAAGTAATATAACAAAATAATTAACTCATCACAATTTTACGTATTTATATGTATCTTTCCAAAATTTTAATCTTAATAATTTTCTTAAATATAGGCAATGACTTTCCTTTTTTAACATAGCTTTCCAAACTATTCCACAGACCTATTCCCTGAATTCAAGTAGACCGCCCCTTTAAACTGGTTCTGTACTGTGGTTTAACAAAAATGTCTGTTCCCTTAAGATTATAACAACTTTTCCTTTTTACAAAATACGTTTGAATGTTTGAAGGTAGTGTGTAGTTCTGAGCTTTATACAGTACTAAAAGAATATTATAGTTAACCAAATCATGAAACTTCAGTAATTTCAATTGATAAAATAAAATACTAGATGGATGACAATAATGCTTTCTTGTGATAATTCTTATAGCTCTTTTCTGCAAAATAAAAATGGGCATCGTTATAGTTTTACATGCTGTTCCCCAAACATCAAGACAATAAATTAAATGCGGGACTATAATTGTATTATACAGCAAATACAAGGCTTTATCATTCAATAAGTCCCTTACTTTATACAGTACTGCAGTGGATTTAGATATTTTAGTTTTTACAGAATTTATGTGCTGTTTCTATGACAGTTTATCATCAATAATTACACCCAAAAACTTCACCGCACCTACTCTGCATATCTCAACACCATCAACTCTAAAAGGAACATCGACAGTTGTCTTTTTTTTACTAAATATCATATAATTAGTTTTATCAAGGTTCAATGATAACTTGTTTAATTTAAACCAATTTTGTAGTTTGACAAACTCCATCTTCATCAACTCAAACATCTGTTCCAAGTCTTTACCCAAATAAAAGAAAGTGGTATCATCAGCAAAGAGAACACATTAAAGGATACTGGACACCTCCGTCAAATCATTTACATACAAAATAAACAACTTATGTCCAAGTACAGAGCCTTGTGGCACTCCACATGAAATACTGTTTAGGTTTGATCTTAAATCGTCTATTTGTACAAACTGTTTTCTGTCTTTTAAATAACTACATATCCACTGCAAAGCTGGACCTCTAATACCATATTTTTTTAATTTATCAATCAGAATGGTGTAGTCAATTGTGTCAAATGCTTTTTTTAGATCGACAAATATACTTATACAATGTTGTTTTTGATCTATAGCTGTAGTAACTTGTTCCATCAACTCCATAAGAGCCATGGATGTTGAGTTTTTTGATCTGAACCCATACTGACTATTACTTAAAATATTATTTTTATCAAGAAATAGGTCAAATCTGGTCACAAATAATTTTTCTAGAATTTTTGAGAGTTGTGGCAACAAAGATATAGGTCTGTAGTTGTTAAATACACATTTGTCACCATGTTTAAAAAGAGGAACTACCTTAGCTATTATCATTCTGTCTGGGAATATTCCTGTTGAAAATGACAAATTACATATATATGTAAATGGCTCAATAACATGACTTATTATTGCTTTTACAACCATCATATCCATGTCTTCACAGTCTTTTGATCTTTTGTCAGTAAATTTTTTAACTACCTTCATTATTTCTTCTTTGTCAGTTCCCTTTAGAAACATACTGTTTACACAATCACTGATTAAATAACTCACATTTTTATCTACTTTTGGTATTGTATTTGCAAGGTTAGATCCAACGTTTACAAAGTAATTATTAAATCCATTTACGATTTCATTTTCATCATGGATTTCCACATTATTTTCCACAAAATATTGAGAAAGACTCGTACTAACCTTATGTTTTTTCAGAACACTGTTCATTACTCGCCATGTTGCCTTCACATCACCACTACTTTTATGCAATAACTCACTATAATATTCCCTCTTTTGTTTTCTTATGATCCCAACTAATTTATTTTTGTACTTTTTATATTTATTTTCTGCCTCATGTGTTCTGGATTTCAAGAAACATGAATACAGATAATTCTTTTTTTTACATGCATTTCTCAATCCTTTCGTAATCCATGGTTGATCAACAGTATCTTTCTTTATATAATTTTTTTTGCACACAAATTTTTTTATTTTTATACAAAACATCTAGAATGTTCATAAACTTATCATAAGGTTTGATTTATTATATTTCAGTCTGAATGTTCTGTACTTTGACAGCCTGTTGTTTTCAGTGTTTTAAGCTTCTCATCCTTGCAGTTGCTGGTGAACAGTAACCGCCTGGGGGAGCGTGTAGTGGTCATCCCGGGGAAGGTGGAGGAGGTGACGTTGCCAGAGCAGGTGGACATCATCATCTCAGAGCCCATGGGCTACATGCTATTCAATGAACGCATGCTGGAGAGCTACTTGCATGCCAAGAAGTTCCTTAAGCCCAGTGGTAAGAAGCAAAACACACAAAACCCCTGAAGTCTTAAAATATCTGAACCGAGTTGTTCTCAGGGCCACCGCCCGGTGTCTTTGTTAGGGCCACCGCCCGGTGTCTTTATGCCTTCAGATCAATCTGACTTCACTTGTGCCCCTTTTCCATGGCACCGGGTCGGCACGGGTCGACTCGGCTCAATTCGGTTCAGCCTTGTACATGTTGCTTTTTCATTATACTTCAGTACCGGTTCTAGTGGGCAGGTCTAGAATCCAACGCACCTTACCATCTGGTGGCAGTAGTGCTCCATTAAGCTATTTACCAGCCACCACTAAACATATTAGAAGACGACCCTGAAAAGATATTCAATTCAATTCAGTTTATTTATATAGCGCCAAGTCACAGCAGAAGTCATCTCAGGCACAGATATGCAACAAAACGGAGGCTATCGAAGCTTTGTTGAACATTCTGCTCAGTCTGTGTCTTTTTGTCAAACGTCAAAGAGGAGAGACCATCATCTACCTTCTCCCCCTTGGCAATGTCTTCCATAAATTTAACATTCACTTCCGTTGTTTTGCCGACGACACCCAGCTCCTCTTATCCACTGCACCTAATTCTTCACTTCCTCCTTCCTCCCTCACTTCCTGCTTAGCTGAAATTAAATCCTGGTTTACATCTAACTTTCTTAAATTAAACAGTGATAAAACAGAGTTTCTACTCATCTGCACCAAATTCACCATATCTAAAGTCAACAGTTTTTCCCTTACCATTGGCAGGTCCATGGTTTCTCCCTCCCCTCATGTTAAGAGTCTGTGTCATTCTTGACAACACAATCTTATTTTCACTCTCACCTCAATTATATTACTCAGTCTGCATACTTCCACCTTTGAAACATCAACCGTCTCCATCCATCCCTCTCCCCGCACCTGCTTCCATCTTGGTCCATAGGGGGGCCCTGAGGGGGCTCTGAGGTTCCAGTGGAGGGGACATGGGGGGCTGGTAGAGCTCCATCTATCTTGCTCTGAATTTTGTCTTTGGTCACCAAACACAAAAAGCACCTGGACTTCAGCATTAGATCACGGTGTTGTCATTATTGTTTTTAAATTCTTAACAATAGGTCCAGCCGCTGCTCCGAGTTGGTTATTGCAAATGGCGGATCAGGTTGTTTTGAAAGTTTCTGAAACAACAGTGACTCCACCCCCTGACCAATCAGTGACCGACAGTGTTCTGAAGTCAGTTTTTGGTGCAAGCTTGGCACAGTTGGAACCCCAAAGAAAAAGGGACTGAAAAAGGGTCCTGTTCCACGAATAAAGTGCCAGTGAAAAAAGCCTTGGAACCGTACCGAGCCTGGTCGAACCCTGCCGAAAAGGTGCTTTGGAAAAGAGGTATTGGACAACCTTTCTGATTCTGCTGATTGTTCTGTGCTGACTGTTTTTCATTGTGGATGTTTTTAGGTAAAATGTTCCCCACCATTGGAGATGTGCACCTGGCCCCCTTCACAGATGAACAGCTCTATATGGAGCAGTTCACCAAAGCCAACTTCTGGTGAGGTGGAAAAAAATGAACCGCATGTACCAATCTAAAACTGTTCTCCCTTCCTCGTGAAAACATATACATACTGGTGATGAATGTAATCTGTGTGAAACATTGTTTACAACCCTGAACCTTCAACATATTGTCAGTGTTTCTTTCTCAGACTTAAGCAGCTTTTCCATTGGTAAGTGCGACTCCATTCGGCTCTTGACTTATCAGTTCTTCTCTGGTGTAGGTGATTTGCCACTTTGACTTATTTCCCCGCTCTGTGGGCGGTATCGTAACAGGTCATTGTGTTCAAGCCACTCTGCCCATTGTGGTCCTTAATCGCCCTATAATTGGACTTCAATTTCTTTAGGTTATCCCGGGCACTGCTTAAAAGTTCGGGTATAGCCATGCTGCACCTTTATCTCAGAAATGTATCTGTAAATGTGCTCATTTCTTGTGGTGCTGCTGTCAACACGATCAGAGTGAGGGGTTCATATGTAGTTTGCAGTTTTGCTGGGCGGATCATTCAGTGACGTAGCTCCGCTGGCCAGTCAACAACTGCTGTCTTCTTACGTCAAAATCATCACCTCGGAGAAGTTCATTTGGAACGTCAAACAAGATGGTCTCATAAGCCGGGATGGGTGGGGTTGGGTACCGGCAGTAGGCAGGCCCTTAACTGGTGCGGTGTGGTGCGGAACTGATGAGAGTTTAGACAGTGGCATTGTGCCATTATAGAGAGAAGAGAAACACAACTCTTTAAAATTTAATGTTCTTTCAACTTCACCTACATCTTTCATTTTCATTTACCCTGTATTTATCCAGGTAGTCTCATTGAGTCACGAGAACACATTTTCAAGAGAGACCTGTTTAGGGAGCAGATGGTGGGGGCTGAGGGCCTTGCTCAGGAGCCCAGAGTGGGTCAAATGGGGGGTGGAGGCAGGTGTGGGTGTTTCACCTTTTCCACTCACATTTTGATGTTGACAGTATCGGGAGTTGAACCAGCAACTTTCCGATCACAGGCACATCTTCTCTAACCTCTGCGCCACCACTCCCCCATGTTGTATATTTATTGTATTTTCAACTACTGAATGTTTTCTATATGATTTTTATCTACTTTAGATGCTCTATTTAGCATGATCTACTCAACTGAGTGGTCGAGCAGAGGTTAGAGAAGGTGGGTCTGTGACCGGAAGTTGCCCGTTCAACTCCCTGGACCAACAACATTTAAAAAAAATGTGAGTGGGAAAGATGAAGCACCCACACCTTCCTCCACCCTCATTTGCCCCACTCTGGGCCCTTGAGCAAATGTCCTCAAGCCCCACCTTCTGCTCCCCTGGGCACCCTAGATGGCAGTTCTCTGCTCCACACAGAGGGTTGTGATAGCTCTGTGGTTGCGTCAGGAAGAGTATACAGCATAAAAACAATTGCCAGGTCTTCATGCAAGTTAGTTTGTTGTGGCAACCCCTGAAGAAGGGAGCAGCCGAAAGAAGAAGAAAAAAAGCAGGAGTAAAAATATAAACTGTAATCCAGTGTTTCCCCTACATTACTTGCCTTGGCAGGGCACTCATCTCTTTTCATACCTGCAAACTTGTTTTTCGGCGAAATTCGCCAATTTTAAACTAAAATTGGTAATTTACGTGAACAATCTAGATCTGAAGAGTTATTTTTCGAGGGTTGGGTGGGGGGTGTTTAGTATGTGTGAGGGAAACGGAGAGCGTAGCATCTTAGCTAGCACGTCTGTATTGTGCGCGGCAATATGTTGTCCTAAGATTTGAGAAGTCCAGCTGATGGTGTTCTAGAGAATAACTTGAAGGAGAAATATGGGGGAGTGGTGGCGCAGAGGTTAGAGAGGTGGGCCTGTGATCCGAAGATCGCCGGTTCACACCCTGGCCCCGACAACATCAAAATTGTGGGTGGGATAGGTGATGCACCAACACTTGCCCCCACCATCATTCGCCCCACTTTGGGCCCATGAGCAAGGCCCTTAACCACCCATCTGCTCCCTAAACAGGTCTCTCTTGAAAATGAGTTCTCGTGGCTCAATGAGACTACCTGGATAAATAAAGGGTAAATGAAAATATATATATATATATATATATGTTAAAGAGAAAGAAGTCAAGTAACACAAGTTTTCTGGAAAGTAAAATTGGTAAAATCAGTGATGGGAAAGGAATAGTGGAAATAAAACAATGGGAGAAGGAGACAAATGTTATTCCAAGTGGATTGTGAAGGAAAGGAGAATAAAAGATATGAAGTGCAAAAAGTGTGGCACCAAGGTGGGAAGGAATCTGTAAATGATTTAGTTTTAATAATAACATGCTGGTTGACAAAACTGACTAAAAAAGTTTTTGTTTCTTTTGTCACTTGCTTATTAGCACAGTGTAATTTAGTGTTGTGAATGCTGCATGGTGCCAGGTCATTTTCTGTTATGAGTAGGTCTATCACTAAATCAGAAAACATTAAACCCCCACCCCTCTAAATTCATTGTTAGTGGTTTCTCCAGATGCATGCTCAATATTCCAGGTAGAAAAATCCAAAAAAGTTTAATTCTGGTCCTCTAGACATTCAAAAAAAAAAAAACACCAAAGCAAAAGAACAAAAAAAAAATGTAGAAACGTTTCGTCTCTCATCTGAAAGACTTCCTCAGTCTGAGGAGCTGTATTCAGCTCAGTCTCTTAAATAGCACCTTCTCAGAGTGGATCAACCAGTTTGCTGCTGACAACCAAAACCAGCTGATCACATGCTCAAGAAGGACCATCAGCCTAACAATGGATCATTAGCACACTGATGGCTGTTTACTGTTCACAGAGGGCTGAGTGATACTAGCAATCACAGCATTGTAAGAGGGGGACAGTTGAACCCGGAGGCTCCACCCCTGTTTAATGATGGACGATTTCTTTTCACAAAGATGGCCTCCTTTACTCCTCTCTCAAACCATCGTTCCTCTCTGTCCAGGATGTGAACATCTTCATCCCTGAAAGAGTGACCGCTGGCCTGGAGATGAGTGTAGACCGCAGAGTCCTGGCCTGATGATGTTGATCTTCTGTGCTGGTCCATCCTTTTGGCCTGTGGCTGTTTAGTTTCCCCGATGTAAGACTGATCACCCTCCTGACACTGAACAACATACACAACATTGCTCTGTTTGTGCCGGGGGACTGGATCTTTGGGATGAACCAGTCTTTAATGTATTTTGGGGTTTAAAAGCCACTGGGACGTTATGTTTAGAAAATAAACGTCTCAGTTTCTCTGATACTCCCTCAACATCTGGAATGACCACTGGTCTGGGTCTGGGTTCCTCCTTTCCACCTGTTGGCTGACTGGAGTCCTGTTTGGGTTTCTTCTCTGCTTTCAGGAAGGCCCAGTTAGGATATCCACATGTGGGATTTCTCCTTCTGCCTGGCTCCTGAGCTAGTGGGGACGCTGTCTGCTCTGTGGTACAGAGTCCTGATGACTCCTAACTTGTGCTCCAAAGGGTGATGGGAGTCAAACTGCAAAAAATTAATGATTAAACTGATAACTCTGATTTTACACTTTAACTCCACTTATGCACAGTTTTTGGGGCGTCTGTGGCTGAGTGGTTAGAGCAGTCGTCCTCCAATGCAAGAGTTGGGTGTTCGAATCCACCAGCAGTCACATGCCGAAGTGTCCCTGGGCAAGACACTGAACCCCTCATTGCCTCTGATGTGTGTCCCACCAGTGCATGAATGTGATAAAGCTCTGATTAGTCTCTTTAGAACGATTTGTTCAATTAGCTTTGTAGAGATCTAGTATAGAGCTGTATGAATGGCTAAATGAGGACACAGATTGTAGTGGAAAGTGCTTTGAGTATCTCATTGAGTGTCTTGAAATAAGATAGAAAGGTGCTATATAAGTACAGTCCATTTACTATCTTCAACTAAAAAAGTAACGATTAAACTGACAACTTTGATTTTACATCAGACACAGCATTACTGCGGTTAGCCGGTAGAAGACAGATCTCTATCGTAGGCTAAATGTCTATTGTTTCTACCATGTACCGTATTCATTCAACCTTTATTTAGACAGTATATATCGCACATTCCTAAAAAGCACTAGTTGAACGAGGTGTCTCTAAAATATCCTGATGCATGCTCAATAATTTCCCCTATTTTTTAATCTGTCCTGAGGACCTGACTTTATTTTGTTGATGTCTCTAAAATCGTTATTGAATCAAGTCTTTATATATGTAGGTAACGTAGATGTTTAACAATCCGTTAAAATACACCAGAATGCAGGAAATGGCATTCATTTTATTCAAAATTTCCATGTGGGGAAACCCCAGACACCCACCACCACCACTAGTTTGTCCCCACACATTACAAGTGTGTTTGATGCCAATGGGCATGAAAGAGGTGCATGGCCGAGCAGCGGGGGTGGGCCCTTGAAATATTTGTCCAAAACATTTCAGAAATGAGTTTTTGCTGTTAGCAAAACATTCTGCTACATTTGGTTTCTCTGGTTGGCTTGTTGCTACTGCTGCTCATTTATTTTTTATTTTGCGATGGAGTTAAATTTTTTTTTTTTTTTTTTTTTTTCATTTAGCCTTTATTTATCCAGGTTAGTCTCATTGAGCCACGAGAACTCATTTTCAAGAGAGACCTGTTTAGGGAGCACATGGTGGGGGTTAAGGGCCTTGCTCATGGGCCCAGAGTGGGGCGAATGAGGGTGGGGGCAAGTGTGGGTGTTTCACCTACCCCACCCACAATTTTGATGTTGTCGGGGCCGGGGCGTGAACCGGCGATCTTCGGATCACAAGCCCACCTCTCTAACCTCTGCGCCACCACTCCCCCAACTCCCCCAAATTCAAAGCAGTCTGCTCCTCAGAAAAATAGTGTTAACTTATTTTTATATATATATGAATATTTCGGTTCAGTGCCCTGAGTCGACTTCTGTTGTGACTTGGTGCTATAGAAATAAACTGAATTGACACCATCTTTCCTATGTATGTCACCATTAAATTAGGATATGTTAGTAAATGTATTTTTTACCTGAAGCATCTTGTTTTTTCCCTTAATTTTCTTCCTGGGAATATACCAGTGTAGTATGACATATGCAGGATATATTCATACTGTTTAAGACGGGTTCTTCATTTTTCTGACTGTGTAAATGCGTGCATTGAGTTTAACAGAAATGTAACGAGAGACGTTATTTACCTTTGACCCATCAAAATGAATGCGGTCATTTATTTGCAGAATCAAAGTTTAACATCACACATTTACATTAATTTGGCAGAATATGAAAACAATAACATGGCTAGTTTCACAGAAAGTTGGAACAATACGGAGATTGTCCTCACTTCTCAGCAAAACAGCAGACATCAATCACACGGCGGTGATTGAGAACTTTGCTTCAGATATTTCTAAAATATCTGTAATGATTTTAGGAGAAAGGAGAGTTTAAGATGGAAAATGGAGATTTATCTTACAGAGAGATGTGTGAGGGAATTAATCTGTTTGACCAGAAACGTGCACGCTCCTTCAGTTCTCAGCTGTTCACGGTACGCTTGGTCGAAGTAGAACTTTTACCTGGTTGACGATAGGTCAGCGTCGGTATAGAATCCTTCCTTTGACTCTTTCAGCGTCTCCGTTGAGAGCAGCTAAAATACTTCGAGAGTCGTGCGAGGTTATCCAAACAGAAGTTATAATCCCCAAAATCGTCCCTGCATTCTATATTCCAATAGAAGCATTCTGGACGCCTGCGTTAGCATCCAAGAACTCTGAACTCTTTAACTCTCTTCAGAGAGTTAAAGTCTGGAACTCTTCTCCAGGAAAAACTTTCAAGCTCTGAAAACTCCCATGTTGAACTCAATCTAGAGCGCAGCAGCTAGACTGGGAAGTTGCCACATTTAAATGGGTCGACTTCCGGGTCATTTGAGAGCTTTTTGATTGGTCGATGGACCAGAAAAGAGGTGTGGTTTGTGATGTAAGGTGTTATGAAAAGTCAAGGATTGTTTTAGTGACAGACAGAAAGATTATTGGAGAACTTCAGACTTCGTGGAGTCTCTACTCTTATTATCTGCTGTAACAGTTAAACATGACATTTCTTTTCAGTAAACTTTTAGTTGACCGAAACTTAAACCTTAACATACTTACAAATTTGCTCATTGAAGACAGAAAAATCAAGAAATGCATATTACCCTGATTTCTTCTTTGAATGAGGAATAAAAATCATTACTTACTGTTTATGTAAATAAAAATGAGTAGTTCTCTTCAACCTGTAAACATTGAGTGAACTAACACAATTTGATTATCAAACATTTGTAAAATAGTAATGATCATAGAGAATTGTCATTTCTACTTGATTAATTCAAGAAAGAAAGTCTCAGGATGGGTCAAACTGTATTTCTGGATGCAGATCAATGAAATAACAGTTTCTGTCCCACAAGGTTCTTAAGGTCAAGTGTTTCGACCTTAGGCTTATTACTTCAGGTTAGGTTCACTACACCAGAATGCTTAATTTACATGTAAAAAAAAAAAAAAATCACAAAATCTTTGTTGGGGGTGGCGTGAGATTTGTCACCCTTTTCATCCGTTCTGAGTTTGCAGGTATGTCCTCTGTGATCTTTGTTGGGCAGAGGGGTTGATGAAGACACGTTTGTGTTGTGCACTGTTTGTACTGTCAGTTTTCTAGCAGGAGGTGGGGGGGTCCAATTCAGTAAAGCCCCCAGTATACTGCCGTACGTACGCAGAGGTACGTGCGTACCCCCCAGGGCATGTCCGTGCAAAGCTCAAATTTTTACGACCGCTCACTCAGTGTCGCACAATAAACTGCCCAGCGACGGACTGTTTTGTTTGCGACACCAATGTATTAAATTCCCCTTCTTCATCTCTGATCTGGCCTTTTCTTTTGTTTGTTTTTTTTGCCAAGAGTTAGTGATCTCTTCCTCCTCCGTTGATGCCATGACTGAAATGGTGAGAAATGAAGGAATTTGTCACGAGCGAATTAAACTCGGGTCCAGCGTGGCTGCGGGAGGGTCTGGAGATTTCCTGGTGGGCTGGTCTGATGTGTGGACTGCAGAGCCAGCGCTCCCTGTTTTTTTTTTAATTTTTTATTAGATCTTTTTATTAACAACATATAAACACAGAACACCACTGCAGCTGAGGCTGCCAGCGCTCGCTTTTTTTTCTTTTTTCTGACCTGTCAATCAATCCAGTAGGTGTGTCAGCAAATGACCAATCGGCGACCTCAATTTGTCTCTAAGGTAAACGCCCCTTGGTCTGTGAAGCTGCTCTGCAGCTGATCGGGGTGTATGCTGGAGTACGAAGTCTGAACCCTCCGCGTACAGTACACGAGTACGTACGCGTGAACGGACGTATGCGGCAGTATACTGGAGCCTTAAGACAGGGCGCTCGGTTTTGTTGACAGAGCGGGACGCCCTGCTTGTATAATGGTATAGTAGTCTGTAACATGAGCCTAGATACTGGTACATATTTTACCTCAAACATTTATTCATAGAAAATGTAGCAACCTTCAGTTAGCAGCTTAATAAATAACTTGTGGTGTATTTTTCTGGCTGCCCATCAGTTGCTCAAGTATTGAGCCCAGAATAAAGAACATAAACCATTATTTTATTGCCAGCTAGCATGAAGTACTCAAAGTCTGATATTTATCTTTTGTAAGCCTTCAATCCTCATCTTGTTGGAGTCTAAAGCAGGTGCAGACTTCCCTTAATTTCTAATGTTTAGGTTGGCTTAATCCGAATAATGACGAGTTGAACTTAATGTTAACTTAATGCTCAGACTGATGATCTGAAGAAAAACATTATTTCAGAACAAACATTAAAACAAGCATTTTAAGCCTAGTAAACATTGCTACCATCAATTAGGGTTGACTGAAACATTTGTAAGTATTTCCAGCAGCCCATGTTTGTTTATCACTTATTGGGCCTGGAACAGGACTGGTCTGCCTCGTGACTCTGTGAGTCCTCATCGAGTCGCTGCAAGTCTTCCTAACAAAGCTGTAGCTCTGTGTCACATTATGTGTTGGGACTAGAAAACATCTAGCTTCTCTTTAAAGGAGACATTGTCTGACGTCTTAATGAAATGCACCTGACACGCTTTGATTGAAATTTAGTCCAACGGCTGTGATCTGAGTGTGCCTTTCTCTGTGTGCTGTTAGGTATCAGCCCTCCTTCCACGGTGTGGACCTGTCTGCTCTGCGGGGGGCTGCAGTGGACGAGTATTTCCGTCAGCCAATTGTGGTACTTACCTGTTTCACATTGTTAACTTGGATTAGATATTAATGCAGTGCAGCTTATGAAGGTGGTGTGTTTGTGGATGTATGTAAAGCTTAGTGCTGTGTTCAGGGCAAACTGGATGTGGTGTTTGTGGTGCTTTCTCCTGCAGGACACGTTTGATATTCGCATCCTGATGGCCAAATCAGTCAAATACACAGTGAACTTCTTAGAGGCCAAAGAGGAGGATCTCTACAGGTGTGTACACATTCTCATGGCGGATGTTTATTGGTGCCTTTTCATTAATGAACGTACACATTCTGGTTGTAGGATAGAGATTCCCTTCAAGTTCCACATGATGCACTCAGGCCTGGTGCACGGCCTGGCGTTCTGGTTTGATGTGGCGTTTATGGGCTCAGTGTAAGTCTGCCAACAGACACATGACACGTTTAAACTGATGAAGATGAGTGGTTCACATTTCTTCACCTTCAACCCCAGGATGACAGTGTGGCTGTCCACAGCACCCACAGAGCCCCTGACCCACTGGTACCAGGTCCGCTGTCTGCTGCAGTCTCCCCTCTTTGCCAAGGCTGGGGACACTCTGTCCGGCACTGCCATGCTGGTGGCCAACAAGAGGTGCATTCTTCACGCTCTGTTCCACTTGAACACCAGGTTTACTCGTTGAATATAAACTGTGTTGTGACTGACTCAGCTACTGCTCAACCAACATTTAGCTCAATGTCTGTAAAGCAGACAGAATTAACCATTTTTGTGTTTGTTAATATTGAATACCTGTGGTGGCCATATTAAATGGGTGTTGGCTCCAAAAGTTTGTTGTACATGCACATCCAATGATAATTTCCTGAAATTTTGAGATATTTTGCTAACAGAGTCACAACACACAGGTAAAACATTTTCTGCCTTTGTCTATGGGCAATAATCAGAAGGCTCAGCTCATTGTCTGAATTGTTGAACCTTGATGGCTTGACAGAACCAGGGCCTTCATGTATGAACATTGTGTATGCACAGAAAGGTTGTCTTCATGTTCCACACACATGTTGGGATGTATCAAAATTAATATGTGAAAGTGTGTGTCAATCCACCAACACCTCTAACCTGCCATGACAATGTGCGTACCTCCACGCAAACTTTTTCAGTCCACAGTATAAAACTACAAAGTAGAGCCCGACCGATATATCAGTAGGACCGATAATTTTGTCCTATATAGACGTTCGTTTATGGTCCTATCGGTATTGGGAATAATGGTCCCATTATCAGCCGATATAAACACTTCTCATTTCCACCTATAAAATGCTGGAACCAGTCGTAATTGTACAATGTATCCAGTAGGGCTGTTGTAAACGATTATTTTAGTAATCGAGTAATCTATAGATTATTCTGGCTATTAATTGAGTAATCAAAAACATAATTTGTCAGGTTCTGCAGTAATGAATCATTTCATGAGTAATACAAATACACGAAAAAGAACATTTAAGTAAACAACCCATTTAATTCCTCTTTTTAAAATATTTTATTGCTTAAAATGTAATGACATGTTGAACCTCCATTTTAGTTTCAAGTCTGTGTTATAGCAGAACTCTTGCTTTTTTTTTCTTTCTAAAATGCAAAAACAAGAGAAGTAAATAAATGTGGATTGAAAGTGAAGATCATCTTCATCTTCCACCACGGACAGCAGCTGCATGTCTGTGATGATCATATTTAAAATGCGGTTTGTGAACTCAGCTGCTGCTCAACCAACATCCTGGAGCTCTTTGGACGAAGCTGTCCAACATATGACTCTGACATTTACTGAAAAGAAGAAGAAGAAACTTATTATTTGTTTGTTTGTTATGCTTTAATAAATTTTCGAGCATACTTCATTGGATATTATAAAATTATGTAATATTGTTAAGGGGTAGTTACACTTTCTGATGACCTGCTGCAATCAAAGTAACATTAGTATGTCAGTTGTATTTGATTTATGCATTTAAAGCTTTTATTTATGTGTGAGGTTTGAGGATGCTTTAATTAAAACCCTCTGTCACTAAATTATTTTTAACCAGCACAGAAAAATCGAAATACTGTAAATTTTTATGGATTGGAAAACTGAATGGAATCTTTATGTTAGAAATAGAGTACCGTAATTGTCGGACTACAAAACGCACCTGTGTCTAAGCCGCACATATTAAATCAGAATCAGAATAAACTTTATTGGAATTGCACCGAGATACAACGCAAATATATATGTACAGTCGTCCGAAAGAAGGGCGTAGTGCACTAAGCTGCAACTACAGGACAGTGCAACAATAGATGAAGCTTTTGCCCTTGGGTACTCATGTCTCAGGAGAAATTTGATAGTCAGCCCATCTCCAAGGCCGTCAGGAGTCTGATTCAGATAAGCTTGATTTTTGTTTTTTCTTCAGGCAGACAGATTTTTTTCTTCAGCCTAGAGTCCATCTGGGCGTTCTGGTTCCGAAAATGCCTAATTGTGGGATTCCATTCCACTGATCCATGCTATGAGTCTCCTTCAAGGTCGAACCCACCACGCTGACGAGTCCCAGAAGCCGCAGGTGGTGTGCGATTCTCAATCGCCACCTTATGGTTAAGCTCGTAAACCAGATGATTTAAAGTTCCCACAGCGAGGACCAGACCTTCACGCTGACTCGGAAGCTTTTCCATGGCCAAAACTGCTGCCGCTGTCTGCTTCAAAAGTCGATAAAACAGAGCCCCGCCGATGCCAAAAGCAGAGTCCCTGCTATCATAAGTCCAAATATGTAAACGTCTTCGACATCCTCCTGAGACAGGACTGACAGACACATCATCTGCCACACTCCCCATGAATCCATGATGTACCCCACAGCGTGAGTCTCAGCTGGACACGCCGGTTCTCCAGGACCTTGTCGTTTTGATGAAAAAATCTTATCAATAGAGTTGAACGCCCACGATACCAAATCCATAATCTTATTAATTTATGTTCGGGAGATGAGACCCAGGCGCTACAGACACACAGAGAGCAGAGCAGGAAGAAGGAAAAAAACGGGGGAGGAGAAACGGAAGCTGCCACCTCAATGAGAGCCTGGGAGGAAAAGTAAATATAAATTAAATCATAATTTTGTACATAAATAAATAAAATTAAGCTGCGGGCATCCACTGTTCAATAAATGAAAGTGTGCCCAGCTCAATTAGTGCAGTTTCTTGTTTTAGTACAATAATCAGCCACTTGATGGCGTTCACAGACTATGGCTTGCTTTTCAACATACACTCAGACCGAATGATGTTCATAAGTACACATAAAGCTTGGCGGTCTGACACATGGTTACAACCATTATACCTTGAAAATGAACAAAATAAATATATAAGCATAATCATTGGACAGAACAGTGCCAAACACCTATGTAACTGAAATTATTTAAAAATTATATGTTGGGAAATAGGAGTGCAAATCTTTGTGTCTGGCGATTCGATTCCGATTTTTGGTGTCACAGTTCGATTCATTCTCTGAATTTACGGGCCGCCGACGCATGGCTGGGTTTCCATTTTCACAGCGAGTTTCATGGGGGATCATCAACATGGAGCCAGAGATGGAAGACAAAACAGTGAAACTGATGAACACATCAGGAATGAGTCACAGAATTTAGTGGACGATCTGTTGTCAAAGAAGAATACAGTTCTGAAGCTTAGTAACAGCCCGGTCGTGGGGTCTCGCAAGCGTCCATCAGAAGGAAATTATGAGAAGGAGAAGGAACATTGCATCGCCCTGTTTGACCAGTGGTCGGAGGCTGACCAGGTTGAGTTGGTCGAACGCCTGATTTCCCGTATGTGCCACTACCAGCACAGTCACATCAACTCCTACCTCAAATCCATGCTGCAGAGGGATTTTATCACTGCATTGCCAGCCCAGGGCCTGGATCACATTGCAGAGAACATCCTGTCTTTTCTAGATGCACGTTTACTGTGTGTGGCAGAGTTGGTGTGTAAAGAGTGGCAGAGGTTAATTTCTGAGGGAATGCTGTGGAAAAAGCTCATTGAGCGTATGGTCTGAACTGACCCTCTTTGGAAAGGCCTGTCTGAAAGATACCAGTGGGAGAAATATCTTTTCAAAAACCGCACATCAGAAATCCCACCCAATTCTTACTATCACACTCTTTATCCTAAGATCATTCAAGGCATAGAGACAATTGAGGCTAATTGGCAATGTGGCAAACACAACTTGCAGAGGATTCAGTGTCACTCAGAAAACAGTAAAGGTCTTCAATATGATGATGACAAGATCATCAGTGGCCTTAGGGACAACTCAATCAAGATCTGGGATAAGCAGACACTGGAATGTCTAAAGGTACTGACAAATCACACAGGCTCAGTATTGTGTCTCCACTACGACAAGAGGGTCATTGTACTGGGTCTTCTGACTCAACTGTCAGGGTGTGGGAGGTGATGACGGGTGAGCTACTGAACACACTGATTCATCACAATCAGGCAGTTCTTCACCTGCGGTTTGCAAATGGTCTGATGGTCACCTGCTCTAAGGACCGTTCAATTGCAGTCTGGGACATAGCCTCGCCAACTGACATCAGCTTGTGTCGTGTCCTTGTGGGACACCACGCTGTCCTCAACATGGTTGACTTTGATAACAAATATATTGTGTCCGCCTCAGGGGACCGCACCATCAAGGTATGGAGCACCAGCACCTGTGAGTTTGTACGCACTAAATGGTCATAAGAGAGGGATTGCCTGTTTACAATATAGAGATCGTCTGGTAGTCAGTGGTTCATCTGACAACACAATACGGTTATGGGACATAGTGTGGCGCCTGTTTGCGGGTGCTGGAAGGTCACGAGGAGTTGGTGCACTGCATTCGCTTTGACAACAAAAGGATCATCAACGGTGCCTACGATGGCAAGATAAAAGTGTGGGACCTGCAGGCAGCGCTTGACCCACGGGCCTCTGCCAGTACATTATGTATGCACAGTAGTGGAGCACTCTGGCCGCATATTCCGCCTGCAGTTTGACGAGTTTCAGATCATCAGCAGTTCTCACAACAACACCATTATGATCTGGGACTTCCTGAACGTCTCAATGAATGGCCAGTCAGAGGGACGGTCTCCTTCTCGCACCTACACTTACATTTCTAGATAACAAGTGGCGCCCTCTGAGACCCTTTTTCTTGGAGGAAATCCAGGCCCGATTGGATGATGATGGCATCTGTCATGCACAGGCACCCATCTTTTCTCCTTCTTGTCATCTCTGTCCATCTCCCACTCAGTTCCCATTCCCGCCTCCGCTGCGCCCATTTTCGCTTGTGCCCGTAACCCACCGGTACCGTGACATACACACAGGTCAATGCCAACAAGGATCCCCTACTACAGAATCAATGCAACTCTCCCAGGAAATTCACCTTTTACTACTAATTTATGTTTTATAAAGTAAACTAATGACAATATTAACATAGGCCTGTTATAAGTCACAAGCTCCTTTTTTTGTTTTTATCTCCTTCCTACAAACTTGGTCAGTTTTCAACCCCTGCCAAAACCAAGGTTTCCACAGATATGGAATTGCTTATGGATATATATTTATATACACATTACACAAACATATACACAGTGGCACAGTTGGACAGAGGATGACTGGAGCTGTGA